CCAGCCGTAACAGCGGAGGTGGGGGCTGGGGCCTTGGAGGCTGCTCTGCCCTGGCCTCCTGAACTGCCTGTACCACCATGTCCTCCTGTGTTCCCTACTCCGCCATGTCCTCCGGTGTTCCCTATTCCGCCATGGCGCCCAGAGATGCCAGGTCCACCATGGAGCCCGCTCTGGAGGCCTCTAGGAGCAGGGTTATCAGACGAGAGGCCCCCAGAGCGCCCAACAGTAACGTCAGACTCTGGTCCATGTTTTGTGTGTGTTTTTGCTCCCCATGTGCTCCGTTACCCAGTTTTCTGTCTCCCGTGTATTGAGTTCATTTGTCCCAGGTATTTCCCATGTTTATTGTCTCATTAGTTCCAGGTGTCCCTCGTCTTCCCCTCATCAAGTCTAGTGTATTTAAAGTGTGTTCCAGTTCTAGTTCTTTGTCAGCCGTTGAACGTCATTCTATTCTCCTGATGTGTCGAGTCCTGTGATCGCCAGCCTTTGTTTAAAAAAAAAAAAAAACCCTTTTGATTTAGTTACTCCGTGTCTCCTCGCTCCTTCGTTCCTCGTGTGTGCAACGTGACAAATGGCATCTACGCTAATATTTTATTCTTATTCCGAGGTCACCCTAGCCACCCGGATCCAGTCCGTTTCCAGATCAGATGGTCACTGCAGTCACCTGGATCCAGTCCGTATCCAGTCCAGATGGTGGAGCAGCACCTAGAGATGACCTCTGCAGAATATGTAACGGTATGAAAATGTCTTATCATGATTATAGTGAACAAAATTATCACGGTTATCATTATTATCACGGTATTGTTAAAATGTGCTAGAAATGTTCAAAAAGTACTGCCATTAATCATTTCACCAAGTTTAATATTTAAAATCAACAAACAACAAATAAAATGACTTTTTGTTTGCATAAACACTAAAACAATAACCTTACAAATGTCCAGATTTTAAATGACAACATGACTGACAACATTTTATCTAATAACATGTACAAAATGTTCAAAACTTTGAAAGGGTTTCATAAAATGGTAAAGCTCACATTTCAGCCTTTAAATAAAGAAAAGGGTTAAGTCAAAATGATAACTGATTAATAAATGATTATATGTATTTTATGTGCTCCATAATTAATTCTAGATACCTTATCCAAATAGTTTAAATGTGTAGAATCCACATAAGCTTGTTTTTCATCAACCGGTCAAAATTTACAGCAGGGAATGACAACATGACTGACAACATTTTATCTAATAACATGTACAAAATGTTCAAAACTTTGAAAGGGTTTCATAAAATGGTAAAGCTCACATTTCAGCCTTTAAATAAAGAAAAGGGTTAAGTCAAAATGATAACTGATTAATAAATGATTATATGTATTTTATGTGCTCCATAATTAATTCTAGATACTTTATCCAAATAGTTTAAATGTGTAGAATCCACATAAGCTTGTTTTTCATCAAGCGGTCAAAATTTACAGCAGGGCATGCAAATTCGGTCCATTTTCTGGCCAGACAAAAATTGCACAAAGGCTGAATGTAAATGTAATCTCTGTAAATCCACTCTCTGAAACTAGGCGGTGCTTATGGAACAGCAGAATTACAGCTGTTTCCCGTAACCTCCGTTAAGCAGCATTGTGATTACTATACTTTATACATTATTAGGTATTACATGGAGCGAAAAATGAAAACAAAATGCCATTGTATCTTTTCTGAAAACCGTCAGAACCCTATGAAGTGGTACATTCATAAATTAATTCATTCATATATTCATTTGTATAATTCCCCTCTTAGCACTCTTTAAAACCTCCCAGCTTTCTGCCATGTTTTCACACAAAACGAAACTACTCCGAGTGCTGTGCGCACATGAAACTGTCACTTAAATATCTGCTTTATGCTGGATAGTATTTATTTATCCTCAGATGTTCAAATCACGGTAATCTAATGCAGTTTTAATGATAATTAAAATATAAAATGGCAATACTAACCGTGGGGAATTTTATCATGATGTATCATCTGGTAATAATTTCATCCCTACTTTACAGCAGTGGAGGCCATGTCAAATAGAAGCAGAGACAGATTATCTGCGAAGACCACGAGAACCAGACGAGTCCTCAGCACAGACCCTGTGGCCAGCTTTAACTCCATCACTATGTGACGTATTCAATCTTCAAGCAGAATGAACTGGATGGATGTTCTAAGTGATGCCAGTCCACAATCTGATTTGTGTTGCAGCCTTGAACTAAAGCGCATCATTGGTTTCATCTGGCCAGAGGAGAACTGGCCCCCCGACTGAGCCTGGTTTCTCCCAAGGTTTTTTTTTCCATTTCTGTCACTGATGGAGTTTTGGTTCCTTGCCGCTGTCGCCTTTGGCTTGCTTAGTTGGGGACACTTGATATTTGCACAGACACTATTTGAACTGAACTGAGCTGGATGATGACATCACTGAATCAATGATGAACTGCCTTTAACTGAAAAAATGACTGTTTGCTATTGTCCTCTTTTTAGAGCTGCTTTACAGCAGGATTAATTGTGTTTGCATTACTAAAACACTATTTCTTAATAAACAGAACTGCATGCGTTTTGCAAATTATGAACACAAAGTTACGGACTGCAGCTTTAAATATAAGCCATATAAGATTCATAGATGAATTCAGTAGGTTCAGTTTTTAATTATACGGATATAAGGTGTTAAATCAGGTGTCATTTGTATTTCCAACACATTTGGGGTGTTTCTGTAGTGCAAAGCAATAAAACAAAATAAGAAAACAGTGTTATTGACCAAGTAATATGACATGGATGTTAGTAAAGCAGGGATCTCCAAACCTCCAATCCTGGAGATCTACACACACCTGCTTTTAATTATCAAGTAACCCTGAACACCTTAATTAGCTGGTTAAGGTGTGTTTGATTGGGGTTGGAGCTGCAGGACAGTAGATCTCCAGGGTTGGAGACTTCTGCACTCGAGAATTATGAATATGTGTCGTTTTTGCCATTTGCAACAGTCTCCGGCCTGTCGACCCTCATATTTCCAACACATTTGGGGTGTTTCTGTGTACGATTAAAATAGTGCAAAGTGAAAATAGTGCAAAGCAATAAAACAAAATAAGAAAACAGTGTTATTGACCAAGTAATATGACATGGATGGCAGTAAAGCAGGGATCTCCAAACCTCCAATCCTGGAGATCTACACACACCTGCTTTTAATTATCAAGTAACCCTGAACACCTTAATTAGCTGGTTAAGGTGTGTTTGATTGGGGTTGGAGCTGCAGGACAGTAGATCTCCAGGGTTGGAGACTTCTGCACTCGAGAATTATGAATATGTGTCGTTTTTGCCATTTGCAACAGTCTCCGGCCTGTCGACCCTCATCACCATGTTGTTGGAGAAAAAGAGGTACCATGTGAAACAGCCATCTCTACAGTGACCTTAAAATACGTAAATTGTGCACATAATAACCTAATTGTAACAGAGCTTATTTGATTTGGACAATCTAATTCTTTTGTTTAGAAATGTTTGAAATGGCTAACCAATGCATTAGTTAAGGTCAGTTCTGAGTTTATGCTGCCTTCACATGCTATTGAAAAAGAAGTATTCCCCACCTCTGAAGCTGAGTTTGTTGTCGAAAAGAACAGGAATCAAGGGTGTAGGTTTGATTTTGGCATTGGTGGGGACATAACAGCAGACATTTAATTGTTTGATCAAAATTATTTCTAGGGACAATTTAGTACTTGCTGGATATTGGTAGGGACATGTCATAGCGTCTCTACTAAACTCTACACCCTTGAAAATCATAAGTGATGTCTGGATTTGGAAACTGTAGTTCTCTCCTAAAATATGAAGAGGTCAAGCAACAGATTAATGAGTTAGTAATTTCACAAAGAAGCTATGGATATAATTATAATACAAGTCAGACACTAAAGTGACTTGCTGCTTTTGTCACTCTTCTGAGGAAGATGGCATTCACTTGTGTTGGCAATGTACCCTCACAGAGAAATTTTGGTCAGATTTAATTTTTTTAATGCTCATCCAAACTCATTTTGGAGTACTCAAAAGAGAACATATAGGAAAATATAACTTAATTGATTTGTATTTCCTGCTAGCTAAATGTCACATGCATAAACCAAAAAAAACAAGTTTTTAAAAAAAAATTTTTTATTCAAAGATGATCCAGACAAGTATATGGAAACTATCCAAAGCTCTGTTAATCCTAAAGCAATCAAAGTGGCATCTCTATATTCATCCCATGTTTCCTTGTAAATTTATTACCTTTTAACACATCCTTTGCGGAAATTAACCATGGTTACTACAAGAAAAAAAAAAGGTTACAATTGTAGCAATTTAGCTCAAAAGGGAAATGTGTATATACATAATTACAATTAATTATAATTAATTACAATTATTTATATAAACTGCCAGTAGTAACTGTAGCAGAATTAAATTGCCATCAACTAATCTGTTCGTCCAGCGAACATTCAGTGTAATTTCATATTACCTCTAAGACAGTATATTTTTGTGGCCACAGACAATAACTTTCTTATAGTATTAATGCATTAGATCATGTAGCTTGATCGGAATCGAAAAAGGGACAGTAATTTACAAGGCAGAATCAGAAAATCATGTAATTTGTGCATAAGAGTTTTATTAACTAGCCTAAACACTAACGCAAACTAGTCTAACAAAAATACATGCACTCATGCGTACATACAAAAAGGAGCAAAGTGGATGAAAGAAATCATTAGAGAAACAGGAAATGAAGCTATGGAAAAGGAATCAGTTATAATCACTTGAATTGTTGTACACAGAGGCAACTCCGGGCGGATGACGTATGAGGTAAGCTTTGTGCATGCGCCGCTCAGAAGTGACGCACGCAGAAATGCAGCGGAGAGATCAGAACAAAACAATGGTCAAGAATTAGAAGTACAAAACGAGGATTTGTAAAGAAGAATGTCGGAGGATTTCGATATAAGCCAAGAGGAGACTGGTTTTCCTTTGCTAAAGTAAGGAAACTTTGCTTCCTTTGCTCCTGTTAACAAATGTTGGTTTTCACGAGACTCACCGGCGCATGCGCAAAGCTGACTTCATACGTCATCCTCCCGGAGCTGCTTCTGTGTACAACTGTTGGCGCAAGCTAAATTAAAGTGATTATTACGTTTTGAATAAGGATATTTTTCTTACAAAAATGCATCGATTCGCTAAAGGAGGCCTTTGTTCACCCCCCTGGATTCGTCTGAAAGAAGAAAGTCATATACACCTAGGATGCCTCGGGGGTGAGTAAAACGCAGCCTAATTTTCATTTTTGGGTGAACTAACCCTTTAACCTTTGAGTGAAACAAACCGTTTAGTTTAGTTAAATGTACGATAATTGCATTGCCTTGGTTGTTAACGAGTGTCCAGATGCAGTCTCGGATGAAAGTCTTGATGGTTTCAAGGTTTTGGACTTGCGATCACGTTCTTCTAGGTTTGAAGAGTGATGAACTCCAAAGATGTTCTGACTCAATGGTGATTGGGAGTTTCTTCCCGGGTGGAAAGTGAAAAAGAGCTAAGAGAGACTGAGATCCTAGGATCTTTGTTGAATGGAAAGTCAAGGCCGAGGCCTGGCACAAACTTAGAGTGTCCTTTGAAGACTTCTAGTTCAGCATCCCCATCTTCTCAGAATCTAAAAGAAGCTAGACTTGGACGACGGTCACTGATGTGAGGCCTTTTAAGTCCTGTGGAGGTCACACCTCTCGGGGGTCAAAGAGCCAATGCGACTTGCACTTTGGAGAGAAAGTTTATGACTTTGTCTTAGAGCATGGTATTTGCATATGAAATTCGATTGGGTGTTGATGCAAAAACTACTAAAAATTCTTAGAACACTAATATGTGGCATAGGTATAAACGTATAATATACACTTCTCATTTAGGAAATCAAAATACGAATTCAAAGACACCAAACATGGTATAGGTAAGATTACATGAACGAGTGGTTCTATCATAAACATGCATAAAACAGTATACAATACAAAGACAATATACAAGAACAGTAATAATATACACAATGAACTGAAGGATATGTGTGTTCATTCAAAGAAAGGTTTTTCTATGAATTAATTAGAGAAGAGTCAATTTTTATGGGCATTGCATAAATATTGAAAATAATATTTTAAAACAAAGCAAAACAAAATTATTTAATGTTTGAATAAAAGCAATGTTATTTTTTTTCCAAAACGGTTGTCTTGCTCTTGTGATATTGCTTAAAGGGTTAAGGCCCTGATATACTTCAAACGAAATCGAAGAACGAACTGGTATGACGTCATTTCGAACAAAATCAGGCCGAAACGAAGTTTGTTTTGAGTTCGTCTTGTCTGGAGCTTACATTCGAACCATGGCAGGAAGCCTAGAGGACGCAGTGTCTCGTTCCCTACTCAGGGAACCATGGTTACATAAGTAACCTGAGATGTTCCCTTTCAAGGAAGGGAAGGGGAGCGTCGCGACACATGTTTACATAAATCTACACCCCGCCTCCAGCATCGCGGGGGTGTTGGAAAGTTCGGAAAGAGTATACCGTCGCTCAGCCTTTTCAAACTTCTTTTTACCCCCAAACGAAGAACAAAAAACAAACTTCGTTTGAAGTATATCGGGGCCTTTACTCCACCCCAAAATGAAAATTTTGTCATTAATTACTCACCCCCATGTCATTCCAAACCCGTAATAGCTTCGTTCATCTTCGGAACACAATTTAAGATATTTTAGATGAAAACCGGGAGGCTTGTGATTGTCCCATTGACTACCAAGTAACTTACACTGTCAAGGCCCAGAGAAGTATGAAAGACATTGTAAAAAAACAATGCTACTTCAAAATTACGTCATCGTAATTTTACGAAGCTACGAGAATATTTTTTGTACGCAAAGAAAACAAAAATAACGACTTTATTCAACAATTTGTGTTCTCTGCGTTTCCTCCACGTCACCGTAGCGCCATTTTGGAAAGTATCACTGGATGCAAATAGCGTATGCTGTTGTCCTGCCCAAACTCCCGCAGACCCAATCACAAGCTCACAATCATGACACTGTTGTGATTAGTTGATGTTCCAGTTATTGTCCTAGATGGTAGTAGTACTAAAACTCAGTGGCGGCTCGTCGGGGGAGGCACAGCTTCCCCATAATTTTGAGGTGAAAATGGGAGGAGGACGATTTAATGTTAATAAAATTCACAATTCATTTCAGTTCATGTCTCAGAAAATGTGTATTTTTTGTTTGTAATTTCACAGTTGTAATACCATAACGTGAAAGCACCGCTTTTCTATCGCGAATGTGCCGAATCTGCTGATGTAATTACAACCGCTAAGGATAGAGAAGGGGAGGGGGAGGCCAGGGGAGAGATGATCTCTTGTGCCTCCGTTGGTAAAAAAAAATTAGCCAATCAGCATCGAGTGTTCACTTTCAGCGCTGAGGAGTGTTGCGAAAAGAAACCTCGTAAGGGAGGCTAGCCTCCCTTCTGATATCAACCAATCATCATAGAGACGTAAATTACGTGATATTAGTTTGAACGTCTGCCGCTGCGCTGATAATGTACCAAGTACTTATGAGTAGCAATATTGAATATAACAGGCAGCTCTCTTTTAACACAGACTTTTAAGAAGGGATGGATGTGTGCTTCAAGTGATAGGCCAGGTAAGTGAATTATATTATCTTGCTGTATGTATGTCGTTTTCTTTACGTTTTCTCACTAAAAGCAACCAAAAAGCCATTTTAAAGTGGTTAAGCAAATAATATAATAATAATAATAATCGGCAGGGATCCCAGACCAATACAATTAGTGTGCCTCCTCTATTTTAAAACCCACGAGCCGCCACTGCTAAAACTTACAAGTGGCAGAGACATAAGAGTACAAGGATAGAACAAAGAAGTGGTAGAGAAGTCTAAGCTGAAACCGAAGTTGTGTGCTTAAGAAATAAAGAGGCTACACGCCAGTTCGAACATTTACTTTTCAGAGTGTTTATTCAACAAACACCACAGACACCACACCCTGTTTATAGCATCAAATAATTAAAATAACTAAAAGCAAACTTATTAGAAAAACACTTAAACATACAAATCCTAAAATGACTGAAACCATCTTTGGGGAAAAAAAATTACTTGAAGTGTAATTTGATTATTTAGTTTGACTCACATCCCATTCATTTACAGGGTTTATGAACTATACTGCAGCCAGCCACCAGATGTCGATCGAAATATTTTGGCTTCACTTTTCAGGACATGTGCGATGCACTTGGGTTGACATCAGAAGCAGCAAACACACCGCACAGTGACTGTCACTAGTGAGTCCATTAATGTAATAATGAATATATTAAAGGGGTCATATGATGCTGCTAAAAAGAACATTATTTTGTGTATTTGGTGTAATGAAATGTGTTTATGTGGTTTAAAGTAAAAAAAACACATTATTTTCCACATAATGTACATTATTGTTTCTCCTCTATGCCCCGCCTTTCTGAAACGCGTTGATTTTTACAAAGCTCATCGGTCTGAAAAAGCGAGGTGTGCTGTGATTGGCCAGCTATCCAGTGCGTTGTGATTGGCCGAATACCTCAAGCGTGAGACGGAAATGTTACGCCCCTCACATACTGTTGACGCCGTGTCCGGCCGGAGCTACGAGACAAAACATTAAAACGCATTACAAACGAGGCATTTGTTGCATCCAGTGCACACACACCGCTCTCTCTCGCTCACGCGCGCACACACACACACACCGCTCTCTCTCTCTCTCTCTCTCTCGCGCGCGCGCACAAACACACACACACACGATGCGCAAAACTCTGCATTTGAACAGTCAATAGCAAATACTTAAAC